TACACATCTGGATCAGTGCTGCCTCCATCCTGAATCTGACATCTGTAACCTCCAGCATCCTCAGTAGTGATGTTGTTGATGATCAGAGAGCAGTTATTGTCCACACTCAGCCTGGCAGCTTTAGATGAACTCTGAACAACGTTTCCTCTCTGAACTTCCTGCTGAGGATTCATGTCTTCATCTCTCATATAAAGCCAGTTAACAGTGGAGCATGAGGAAGAGGATGATGAAGGTCTTTTACAGGGTAAAACAGCATCATCTCCAGCTCTGTGGTAGATATGGACTACTTCTCTTTTGATATCTGCAGAAAAAGACGTTACATTACATATAGCTGTGAATAACATCAGCATCTGTGCTTTTTTACCAGCATTTAGGTAAAGTATAGAATCTGTTTCAAAAATAGACGTATACAGTAAAACCAATGTTTTCAAGCAATAATAATAATTTTCAGTTTGACTATTTTTATCCTTTTTTTAGCTTTGAACTTTAACTTTTCTGCATTTCCAGAAATGGTGATGCTATTAATGATGTTTGAATTACTATTAAGGAAAACAGCAGTAATGTAAAATTCTGCAAAAAAAAGAAGACATTTTTGATTAAATGCTCCCTAAAAAAGAAACTTCTTTCCTTTAATCTAATAAAAAGTGGAAATAATTTCATTCATTAAACTCTGTTTTAATCAATGTGACGGAAACAAACATGATGTCATAGAAGTGTGGTGTGATTATGTGACGCACAGGGGACTTTGACCAAGAGTCAATGTCAATATGTGATGAGTTGGTAGTGAGAATATGACTAAAACATGGGAGGGTGCAAACATTTGCCGGTGTCACATACAGAACACGTGAAGCAATACTGAATTCCTGAACATCATGTCATGCAAAGGATTGTGGGATTCCTCATAGCTTCTTAGCAGCAGAAAGGAACGTCCTGAGGTCTCTGCTAAAGGAACTATGATAGAAAGCTTACAGTCTCCTAGACCCAAAACTCTGGTCCATTTAAAGCAGAGCAGATGTTATAGGTGTGAAAATAGTAGACCCCGAAATGTTTTTTAAAACGTTATTTGCCTGGTATGAAAATTAAAATGAGTAATTTTTGTTTCAGAGAGAAAAATGGTTTAGAAATGCAAGTCTGTCCAGAAAGCAAAACAATACTTCAATAGAGAGGAAATTATAGCATAAAAATAATTGCCATATTAAAATTGTTGTACTTTCTGCATTTTACATAATCTGCTAAGCAAATAAAATTCATCCTACCTTTAAGCACAGCTGTGTAGTGAGCTTCTATCTCTGTGTTTTCTTTAACATACTTGCAGGTATAATTTCTGTTGGTGACGCTCTGATGCTGCACAGTTAGATAGGAATTACAGTTGCTTATTTCATTTATCTTGTATCTGTCATCTTCACCAGTCAGTTTAGTTCCTTTCTCATCCAACCAGTGGAAACTCCCAGAGCAAGAAAACGACTTGAGGGTTGTCTTCAGGGAACACTGTAATGTGACTCCTCCATCTTCAGTTGGATCGGCAGCTGATGAAGATGGAGAGACTAAAAAAAAAAAAAAAATGTTTGAGTCTGAAAGCTGGAGAGGTAACTTTCTCTAACATAAAAAAAATTGAACTTGTTATATATTGTCTCAATGTCTCTTGGTGACTGATGCACTAATGTTGCAGATCTGAGCCGGTATTTATCAGCACAATGGAACAAAACAAGAAGAA